TATATATATATATATATATATATATATATATATATAGAATATTGTACAATCTAATCGCCATTTTAAGAATAAAATTAATATCTTTTGTTGAGGCAAAGCGAATAATTCATTGAAGTCAAATATTTGTACATACTCTCTGTGAATTCAAATTGCAGCACACAACTAGAGTGAAAACCATGAAAACAAACCTTTCTTTTAATATAAAAATTGTCGTGTGCGATTAACATTTTTGCTACAGAAATCTCATTTAGCAATGCATCGAAAAAACAAAGAAATATAAAAATAAATATAAAAAAAAATAAAAATAAGAGATAAAAAGGGAAACGTGTACGTGAATATATTATGTCTCTTTTTAATTTATGTAAATCGTTACATGTATAATGTGACCTCGCCGTTGACGATCCGGCCACGGTAACAGAAAGAGATGCTAATTTAATTACACCACCATTTAATTATACGTAATTAAATGACTTAATTTTCGCCTCTTCTTTTGGCAATTAGCTATTTTTATAGCATTTTGGAAGGTCATTGACCAATCATCGATCAAATGCGATAAGTCTATTTCTATTAAAATATTAGTGTATTGTAACAATGTTACAAGTTATAGCCGCAGACTTTTAGAGTATGTACTATATATTGACATTAAAAATTTTTTAAACAATCTTTTCTTCGGTTTCTTCTACCCCTATTTTATGTATAAATTTTTTTAAATTTCGTTGATTAGAGGCAACTTTATACGCAATCAAAGGTTCATATACGAATTTACGAAAACAAAGCTTCCTCTATGAGGAAGCAATAATTTAACGCGAACACCTTGTTACGGCTGTGTACCCTATCATTATTTACGTTTGATCAACCATGATCTCTTGTTGGACGGAGTATACATACATACATAAATTTTCATATAAAAGAAGAAAATCACGAAAAACGCATGTTTCACAAATAGACAAATTTAGCCTAAAAATTTTTAATTGAGGCATGTGCAATCTTGTCATTACGACGCGGTTTAAAAAATGCATCCAGTGGTAAGTAAGACTGGTATATACGGAAAGAACGGTTTTGCTAAAGTATCTAAAAATTTAGCTAAATACTAAAAATAATTTTGTTACACCATAAAAGCATGATAATAATGCTGTAAAAATATTCTGACATTCTAGCAACCAGCTTGAGCGTTCTACAATAATAATTTTGATAGTTCAAAAAAATTATTTTTAGATCTGTATTTAAGTAAATTTTTAGATACTTTAGCAAAATTGTTTTTTCCTTTTGTAACAATTTTTGCATCTTTCGAAAAGTTGTTCCTATGCAGAAGAATAGTGACATTGTGATATGTAATACTTTTTATATGTAAAAACTATTTTTCATTATTATAAAGTTATCTATAAAAGGGTAAATTTTTAATTTTACAAATTATAATTTTATAATTTTATAAATTTGTAATTTTATCAAACTGTAATTTATTTTATATACTTATTTTTATTTATGTTTAATTTGTACATTACTATTTTACTTTATATACTTTACATAATTTATTTTATGAAAATCTATCCGGGAATTTTCTGCGTACGCGAACTTTGCGAGAAAGTTATTGTTTCACTTGGAAAAAAAGACTTTGAGACTGTGAGAGAGTATGATATATTCACAAATATTTATCGACCAATCGAGAAATTAATTGAGCGCGAAAATTCTATCACACGATCAGATAGATATTAAATAATTATTGAAGAAATTAACATTTTGTAATTTAACATTTAATATTAATAGTAATTTAAATATTTATTTCATTATAAAAAAGGCCTCTCTTGCGTATATGTAAAGAAATGCTCTTTATCATGTAATATATATTTTTAAAAATATATTAAAGATACCGGCTTCAAATTCGAAAGAAGGGGAGACAGCAGTTAGATGGCAGGAATTACAACAGAGGGCCAAGACCCAAAAGCAGCATGAAGCTGAGGAACACGCTCAGATGTTACGGAAAGAGCGTCTAATGCGCGAGATTGAGCTCAGTACTTTAAATACAATGCGTTACCGGACGTTATGGTGGGAGATGATGATGAGGATCAAAATTCCGCAGATCGCCGAAGACGTGGAGATTGCGTGGCGTAATTTTGACCGCACTCTCGATATCAAGGACTACAGGTCATCATATGTGTTACATTAAATTGAATTGGCTAATCGCGGCAATAAACTAGTTTGTTTAGTGCATTCTCAGAGTTTCACATCGCAACTGAATAAAATTTGAATACTGGTTAAAGAAATATTTTATCCTTGAACGGATTTTCCTTTAGTATCGATTACTTCACTGTGTACATACATTGCACCTGTAGTATTTTTTGGATTAGATTCCGATAACCCGATAAGCCTTAATTTGACGATGGTTTCTGGTAGTACTTTTAATGCTGAACAAAAAATTATGTAGGTCTTATAGGGCTAACTGCTCTGGTTTTCGAGATATACAGTGTTAAAGTTGGTAAAACTTTAGATTAAGGGCGACCTCACCGATTTCAATGACCTTGGCTGCGGTCCACTTGACGCTACAAATTCTTTGGAGCGTCCTTCTTCTCTTTCTTTCTTCATTGAAAGAAAAGAGAAGAGGAATGCTTCGAAGCATTTGTAGCGTCAAGTTGACCGCAGCCCTTGATATACGAGGTGTGATCAAAAAGTTCGTAAAAAAAATTTTTTTCTGCCGACGTGGCAATACTGTAGGCTTCTATGGTGGTTGGGCATCTAAGGGGAAGCCTTAAGGCTCAGTCACAATGAGAGGAATAAGAAATAAGATAAAGGAATTAGGAATAAGGCACATTGCATCTCACTTTAATGTACGTGTACTGAAGTGAGATGCAACATTCCCTTATTCCTTATTCCTTTATCTTATTCCTTATTCCTCTCATTGTGACTGAGCCCTTACGTGCAATGGCTAGGGCCTATGACTACTTAAGACCAAGACAGTCTTGAACGTCTTGAATACGGGCCTGTGATTCAGCTGGTTGCGCAATGCGCGACGCGCAATGTATGTTAACGTGCATATAGCAGCATATAGGCACATAATATAGGTGCCAGAGTGTGTGTGCGAAATCCGTGTATTCTAATCGTAATCGGCCGCCGATTCGCGGAGAACGGATTGGAACGGATGGTGCGATGAATCGTTGAAACGGATATCACGAGTGACCGAGCGGAAGGCTCTGTGTAAGGGAATCATTCGTATCGTCGTCATCATCATCGAGAGCTCATTCACGTCGGACGAATCGACGTGAGAAGCTAGCGGGTAAGCAGCAATAGGACGGCGATATCGACGACAACGACGAGCGATGATGTCGCGCTACCCAACGCAGGCACAAACAAAATGGCCGCTCACTCGGCGGTATTCGGTTTGGCGGTACCGTTGTTTACTCGTCAGGGAGACGTTTCGACGCGAAGCGCGGCGCGCTTATTGATTCCTCGCTACCGCACGTGTCATTAACTCCGTTGTCTCGGCGACGCGCGACGTGTAGCCACGTATGACGCTCCGCTCCGTCAGCGGTATTTCTATTCACCGACGTTTCGTTTCCGCTTCTTTTTTGTGACGCGGACGAACGGTATCGTTGTGGTGCTGGGGGTCGCTCGTCGCTCATCGTCGTCGCGACGACGGCGTAGACTTTGATGCGGGAACGCGACGCCTGTCCGTCGACGTGGCTGTGCATCGCCCGAAGACGCACGCGACGTCGCAATTCGCGGGATATGCTGCCGATCGACAGTGGGGTCAGCTTCGCGAAACTTCCAGCAATTTCTTGAACAATTTCGCCCCCAGGTAACCATAATCTTAACGCTTTTTATTGAATCGTCAAATACTCCGACTCTTCATTGAGCTCACTTTAAACGGTGGATTTTAATTAGCAAATCTTCGCATTTACCGGTCGATCCAGCAAATCGTGCTCGATTAGTCATTCCGAAATTCGACGAATTATCTATCGCATTGCCGAGCTCTTTATGGGATCAAAAGTTGGTATACAAGTGTAACATATATTTCTCAGGCAAACAGAATGTCCAGCTCGTATGTCATTGAGCCACAGGAAAGTAGCTCTCAGAAGAAGGATGATACGTTAATCATTGTTGTCAACGATGACGGGGTAATATCCGTTGATCAGGCGACTCTACAAAACTTAATAAGTAAGTGATTGCGAGCAAATTGGTAAAATAAAAGACGTGATGACATCTTGTGAAAGATTGATAAAGATGAATAATGTTCAATATGGTAATAAGCGATATTAAATCGCTGTTTCAGTGAATCAATCGAGCGCTAATGTTAGCGTGGTAAGATTAGGACAGGCTGACGCGGATACTGAAAATGGAGATATAACCTTGACAGTAGATCCACCGATATTTGCTCATTCTACAGCAAGCTCGGTAAGCGCCAATGCCAGCACTGACCCAGGTGGGTTGGTAGATCCCTTTATGGAGATGGATCCAGAACAGCTGGAAAGATTAGAAACAGCTCTGCAAAGTGAAGAGGCAAAGCAGATACTTGGAGAAAATGTCACTGCAATGCTTGGTACTTTATATATTATTTTTTTTTGTTAAGGTTCTTTTGCTCTTTTGTTCGAGTTTTATGATTGCAATTATACAAAAAAGTCTTTTGTTTATATTAGCAACTTTTGTAGAATTTTATCAATATAAGTGTGTGCAAAGATTGAGACACCGCGTAAATGCTTTTGTCTGACTTAATAGTTGATTTATGCAACTTCTCTATATACTGATTCTTTTTAGATATGTTATCGATAGAAGAACAACAGAATACAATGCGATATAATATACAGTTGGATCATTGTTATACGAGCAGATTGTCACCTAGCGATCCAATACCAAGGGATCCTCTACCAATCGTTGATGATTTGTCTGAAACCAATGATATACAGTTTATACATCAAACAACCTCTCCTCGAACACCTGTTATGTCACCTATTAATGACATGGACAATGCTGGAGTTAAGAGCAAGAATATTGCGAAGAATATAAATGTAATTGTTATTACATTGTGTGTGTGCGTGTGCGTGTGCGTGTGCGTGCGTGCGTGCGTGCGTGCGTGCGTGTGTGTGTGTGTGTGTGTTGTGTGTGTGTGTGTGGAGTAACATAATATTGTTATTTATGACTAATTGTGTGATATTTAATTGCTGTGTTGTAGATATTACAAAACAAACAGATGAATAGACCCATACGTAAAACGGCTGTATCTACACCTACAAATATAACTGGATCTTCTAGAACTAATACAAACATCCTTGGAACTCCTAAATTTTCAGGGCATTATTCAATGCCGAGGAATATAACAAATGTTCCGCAAGGAACAACTAAATGTATTGTTTCAATAATTATTGTTTTTTAATTATTCGAATATATATTATTTACGTAGAGTATCAAGAGAACGAATTATCATTACATTCATTTACAGTACAAGCCAAAAATAACAAGGAAGAAGAAGATGATGAAATCTCAGAATCATCTTTGGATTCTTCAGAACCAGAACCATCTGATAACGATAGCGATTCAGATTTTGGTCCTCGTAGCTCCAAGAAAAGCACTCCTAGGGCTCGAGGAGGACGAAAAGGTCTTACTACAAGAGGTGGTAGCATGATAGCTGTTCGAAGAAGAGGTCAAAATAAACAACTGGATATGGAGCAGGTGCGACGATTAGACATGGAGATGGCTGCTGCTGTTAATGCAATGAAAACTCCTGAAAAGGATGATAAATTGGGTGCGTAATTAGTTTATTAGAAAATATTTGATTTTGTAGGCAAAGGAAATAACGTGATTTTCAAATTATTAGAACGATTTAGTCCTACTAAGAATAAGAGACAAGTCAAAACACTTGGTGGGAAGAAGAAAGAAGAATCGCCATTTACTGAAATTTCTCCATCTATATCGCAAGAATTGCCACCAGCATATGAGAAACCACTACAAACAATGAATCAAGTGAAAGCAAATTTAATTAATGCCAACATGATTAAGGGTGACATGATATTGACCAAACCTGGTCAAGGAAGAAGCAGTCAGAAGGTTACTTTTATTCAAAAACAAGTTCCGATGAAACCGAGCGAACTCAAGAATATCGGGCTTAAAAAAGCTGTGTTCGTTTCTAAGGAAAAATTCAACCAAGGCGGTACAAAATTTTTTACGACCAAAGATGGGAAATTGCTACAAATACCAATGACGTCCAAAACGGCGAGTCCGAACATGCAGATTTCTCCCGTAAAGGCGATATTGACGCAACAATCCACGGTACAACAACCTGTGACACAGCAACAAAATGTAAACCAAGGTTCGCTGATACAGCAACAATCGAAAACCGTTTTGTCGGTCGGCATGCCGATAAAAATTAAGCCTAGCGATATAAAGAGGGAGAAGAGGAAATCTGACACCAGTATAGAATCAATTTCGAAAGGGGAAGAAAATTCCCCAAAATCTGTAGAAATCAAGACTTTAGATAGTTAGTATTTTCTTTACCTTGTCATTAATTAAGAATTAATTAAAGTGAGCTACATAACATTAAGTTACATTTGAAACATTTGTTACAGGTGCGAAGAAGCCTAAAAGAGATAATCGAAAGGCTCCAGGCTATGTAGCTGATACGTTGGGTCCCGCGCTTTTTTCAACACCGGATATAATTCGACGTGTAGGTTCGAATAGTGACGGAAAGGTTACAGATAACCCTGCAACACCTACGACTCCGTCTACACCTTTTGCAACAGTAATAGCTACGTCTGGATCGTCAACCGGTTCCATTTCCACAGCAGTTTTATTGAATATTGGCATCTCTGCCGATTCAAACGTAGTACAGAATACTTCTAATCTTGCTGAAAAAAAGACAATATTTAATGCTTCTGAACAGTCTGTACAGCCAGAACCACAATTAAACTTCGATAGAGGTAACAGTATAATACCAGGAAGTGAAAACGAACAAAAATCGGAAAGCAAGGCATCATTGACTGAAGAATTACACCCATCTTTAGATACAGGTAAAATTAAATCTTATGTAGAAGAGATCTTGTAATATTGCTTTTCAATGTATTATTTTATTTACAAGTGGTTTTTAAAAAACTCACTTATTATCTCTATTTATATTTTGTGATGTAGAATTTTTTCTGTACCATTATTTATTTCTTTTTATAATTTATTTTTATACATAATGCTAAAATAAACATATTTTAAAACATTTTGTTCTTTTTTTCGTTGAATTCCTTTATTTGCTCATAATCTTATAATTAAAAACATTTTATTGTTTTTATATTATCAAAGTTTATAATGCACTGTATATGATTCTATATGTAATTTGTATTTTACATTTCTATCGTACCTATTCTCGTATCTCTAGTATTAAATACTGCTTCATCAGAGAGAATTATTTAATTCATAGTACTCTATATTCTAAGTTGTTTCCAAGAGTAAGCGGTTTTATCGTCAACTTGTATTTTCTCTAACGATAAAAAGTTATGCGTTAATTTTTTTTCTACATATAATAAGTGCATTCTCCTATTTATAATTTATGAATTTACTCTTATTTTCTTTTATCTTAAAAATTACATTAGAATAATAATTATTAAAAGCATTTTATGCATTTGTTTAAGGTGGGATCGAAGGAGAAGAACATTTATTGGCTACTTTAGAAATGGAAGCCAACAAACACGAAGAAGAACTACTTGCTGAAGCATTATTGTTACAAGAGGAACTTGGAGTCGATTTAGCCGAACATGTAAGTGTATTTGTATAATCTATATATTATTCTAAAATATATTTATGTGAATAATACACATGTCATAAAACAAATCTTTGAATTGTGTAAATCAAAAACAGATAAAAAGTAACTGAATGTACTATGAAACCATTATTATATATTTTTTGTCAATATTTGTTGAATTAATTTATAAATAAATTTTATTTTATTTAACAAAAATATGGTACAAAAATTACAAAATGTTAAATAAATTTTAATATGTTAAAATTTAATATTAAAATTTATTGTAATATTTTGTAATTTTTATATACTTTTAATAATAGATAATAAATAATCATAGATATAATTATAGATAATAAATAAGTTTAGATACCGGATAATATTGGTTTTAGTAAAAGTGATTCAGTAATTATCTATATAGCAGAACTTATTTACAAATCAACCTAATAGTTTTATATTAATTTACAAATTATATATTTTTAGTGTATCATGACATCCTAGTTAGTTCTGTATATTTAACTTTTTTATTGATGATATTTGTACGTGGTTGCTGCGTTTTTTAGATACATTAAATATTGAATAAAAATATTTACTAAATATTTATTAAATATTTTTATATGATAATGTAGTTTTTGTTCTTCTAATTAATTTCTTCACGCAAATGAAAAATCTTTTACACATGGCATGCAATACTCTAATCAGAGAATATGATTAGTAATCTCATTATATTATATACGTTACTAATATATATTACATCTACTACAGGATATCAACATTAAATAAATATAATATTTATCATATATATATATATTTATGACCTATAATAATAATAATGATAATTGTAATTATAATAATTAGTTCTAGGGCAATTTTCTAAAAAGAAAAAAAAAGATTTTCCTGTGGCAATCAGATTGAGTCTATTATACCATCCTGTTTCTAACTGCAGGTTAAGGCACGTTTTCCGTCAAAGGAGAGAGTGCTATAATCTGCAGTTGCTCGTGCTCAAGAAAATCGGAGTCCAGCAACTGACATCTTAGCCTAGTATATGCCGGATATCGGCCAAGGATGTGGAGACTAGTCTCATCATCACCGCATTACCTACAATTGAGCATATACCAGAGATGCAACTTGTGCACATGATAATTGACGGCGCCATGCCCCGCCACAGTTGCATTATCAACCTGGGCTCACTTTTTCCTGATGATCTTGTAGTACTCCCGATCAGGTTCTCACTAGGCAACAAATCTCCTAGTAAAGCTTTATCTTGTCCATATTTGGTCCTAATTTTTGGGCCTTCAAAAATTAAGACTGCTCCCGCAGCCAATCTCTGCTCTCTCTGTCTATTTAAACTGTAGCCAGCTTCTATCTCTGCATCTTTGTCGCTGAGCCAGTTCTCGCTGACTGGTCAGCTGTCTCGTTGCCTTTTACTTTTAAATAATCTAGGATACACACTAAGCAAATATAATTGTTTTGCATTCAGTACGCTCGCATTCTCAAATAATCTTAAACGTGGGCATGGAAACATCTCAAGGCCTTTCAAAGTCGCCTAACTATTCAAATAAATTCTGATAGGCTTGCTCTCTGTGACGTTCCTAATAGTCTTTTCTGACGTTATCAACACTTGTGCGCTAATCGCTACTATCTCCTACTCAAAGATCATGACATTTTTTCCGAATGGAGTGCGTTTTCCTCGCTTCTCTCCGACATTCATAGAAGTTGACTCCGGTGTTTGTTTCAGAATCATTCGTATATCAAATGTTCCGTCTCAAAGCAAGCCTTTTGTGCGAACTCTAGTAGCGGAAGAGAAAGAGGCCTCTCGCAAAGCTTGCGAATGCATTCTCATTCTAGATAGAATTTGATTGAATTTTGAATGCTGTCCACGTTGCCATGTCTTATATATATATATATATATTAGAACCATTATTTTATTATTTTAACCTTTGTTGTGCACACCTCTTCGAAATTACGTATTATGCACAGGGGGTATGTCATACCCCAGTCACTTAAAACGTTTATTACAGACGTAGAATTCGTTATTTTGACTCAAACAAAATTGCTGGCTATTGTTCAAAGCTTCCAAAATAAGGTCTAATAGGTTTCATTAATATTTTGCAACGTAAAAGAATTATAAATGATATGTTAACTAAAAAAACCGAAAAATGGACTTTTCACTAAAAAATGCATAAAAAATTCAATTTTTAATATTTTTTAATAATTTTTGCAGGATTATTTTCTTGAAATACTATGTTGTTAGGATATAAATATTGCACTCTTGGCTTTGGATGCAAAAGATTTATTCGGATAAAGAAAAATAGCCATAAAACGTGGCGTGATTTGGCAGAGAGAAAGGCGCGCGCGGAGATCGACAATCGCATATCGTCGACCTTATCGATTTACATCGAATATATCAAGAACAAAAATGGCCGCTGGCGCCAATTACAAAACCTTATAAATCTAACAGAATACATGAAACATATTTGTATTTATTAGCAACATACTACACTTTCAAGGAAAAATATTAGTTTATAGCGGAGTTGAAAAAAGTATATTTATTTTGCTATATGAAGTCACGCGTTTTTTTTTTTTTAAATGAGAGTATTGAGCAGACTAAAGCCGGGCGGGCAAAACTATGTATAGAATTTTGAAGTGTTATTGCTAGACTACAGGTAGATGGCAGCACAGGTCCCGATTCGCATTGTACGTATTAGAAAAACGCGTTTGAAAATACGCTGGGGTATCTCCTACCCCGGTGCACAACAAAGGTTATTTCAGTTGATCGCTAATGAAATCAATAATTACAACTAAAATATTAAAAATAGAAGTAATTGATTCGAAAATTAAAATTATGATTTATTGTTTGCAGCTTTATATCGGGCAATCATGCGATATCTTAACCCACATTCTATAAACGTGACTGATACTACGTTTACGCAAGTGTTACTTTTGTAGTAAATTACGATAATTCACTCGTTTACACAGTGAATTATTGTAAGTTACTACAAAACCCCGTTTACGCGGAGGAATCATCATAAGTTACTACAGAAGTAACGCTTGCGTAAACATAGTATAAGTTTTTAAGTAATTCACGCTGCGGTGCTTGTAATCATGAGTCACAATTCATAATTATCTTATTTTATTTTACTTTTAATAACAAAAAATTGTAATTAAAACATCATAAATAAAAATTAATTGATTCGAAAGTGAAAATTATGTGATGATATATTGTTTACAGTTTTATAGGTCTGCAATTTTAACTGGCGTTCCATAAGATTAACTGAATTTTGTAACATTGTGCGCGTTATTGTCTTACAAGTATAATAATTATTTTATTATTTTACCTTACTTTATTAACAATAAAGTTTAATGATAAGATATTTGAAAGAGAATTGAAATGAAAATAATTCTTAATGGGCTTACAATTAATTATTTTTAATCGGTTTTGTCTTGCATTGCAGTCTGCACTAGCTGATCCCAGGCCACGAGTAATACCAGAACCATTGGCATCGGATAGCATGCTTTTGCCCACGTTAATACCATCCGAACAAGACTCTAAATCAGCAGAGGTAGTAGCAACGGCACAAACAAATACCTCGAAAGAACCAAGCAAAAAGTCTTCAAAGGATGACAAGGAAACAATTCAAATCATTCGGGGCAATCGCGTGATTAAGTTACCACCTATCGAAGCACCTGCCACTAGAAGTAAACGATTGCAAGCGAAAACTGAGATGCCACAGACGAATCCCGAACCGACGAAGAAAGTAGAGAAGCTTACGTGAGTACACTATATTAATAAATTAAGGATTTGGATGCAATAATAAGTAGTTTTGTATACAATTTGTCACGCAAGAGCGTATGGTTGATTACTCGTACATTATTATCTTAAGATAAGCAATTTTTATATGATTTAATAGATTATTAGATATATCGTATTATTATTTAATGTAAAGTCCAGTCTTTATCATTATCAATTATTTAACAATGTAATTATATAAGTGATGGTCTACAACCTTGCTTTAAAGGGTATTTAAGCTTTAAGCCGTAAGAAATTGACCAATCACAGTCGAATATTCTCCTCAAATTTCATTGTAATTGGTCAATTTCTTACGGCTTAGAGCCTAAATATCCTTTAAAGCAAGGTTGTAGATCAGCACTAATAATGATATCAGAATAATGCACATGAATATATGACAGAGGTAAATATACATTATCAATTATAACAAATAATTTATAATAATAAAATTATTTTATTATTTATATGTAATAACGTTAGTTGATAAAAATGATATAATTACTTGTTATTAATATATTATACTATTTATTATGCAGGGTATCCCAAATTTCCTATGGCAATAAGAGTTAATGGTAAATTCTTGAGATCATTTTGAGATGAAACTCTTAATACCAAAATATCGAGATTATCATAATTTAAAGTTAACCAACTACATTGTCCGAAATTGGTACGTCGTATAATAGTAAAGATATTTTTAAGCATCAATTTTGATATGTTGTATGGTAATGTATTAATTGTAATTCTATACACATTTTTACTACTGTCATGTGCCACACCTAGCGTGCGAGTTTCGGACAATTTTATTAGTCAATTTTATAAACACTTCTCGATTAAAAACTATTATAGCCTTGATATTTTAGTATGAAGCTTTTTATCTCAAAATAATCTCGGATATCTATTATTAACGGTTATCGCGAGAAGTCTGGGACACCTTGTATGTTAAAAATTGATAAATGACGCATTACATATATATATATATATATATATATGTAGTGTGTGTGTGTGTGTGTGTGTGTGTGTGTGTGTGTGTGTGTGTGTGTGTGTGTGTGTGTGTGTGTGTGTGTGTGTGTGTGTGTGCGTGCGTGCGTGCGTGCGTGCGTGCGTGCGTGCGTGCGTGCGTGCGTGCGTGCGTGCGTGCGTGCGTGCGTGCGTGCGTGCGTGCGTGCGTGCGTGCGTGCGTGCG